TCCAGGTCAACCACCATGTTGGCCACATGGTTAGATTACAAACCGTAATCGCTCATTAAAGCCCCTAATGAAGATTAAGGTATGATTGGGCCATCACCAGACCCACAAAAGGTAAAAGTCCATTACAACTGCTATAAATAAAGGTTTCATGTATGATTTCTAGGGGGTTGCATAATACATGTTCTACTTGCTATAGTAACCACTCGGTCACTTTACTAACTTGAGCGTCGGAGTGCCTTTGACAGGTGTCCGCGCATCCTGCTTGGAGGAGGAGGAGGACCACCTGGAGTGCATGGAGAAAAGCCCGCTCGGTCTTCAACCCAGAGTATGGAGTAGCGTCCGTCCGCACCAAGCCCCGTCTGGTTCGTAGCTTCTACAACGTTCGTCCGCCCAGTCTTTAGCATCTGCTAATCTTCGATACTATTAGGAGTGTTTTAATAGGGTCACACCAAACCCGACCGAAACAATAATATTATTATAAAAGTTATTGTGTGAAGGTTTCTAATATTTTTTTAAATATTTGTTCACAGTCCACTCTTTTTAACCAGTAGATATCTATGTTATTTTTATATTTAGTGTGGCTGTTAAATTTTTGTTTTATTTTTATTTTCGTTGGGTAAAGGAGATATCAATACTTTAAAGAATACTTTATTATTTTAAATATTAATTAAATGTAATAAAAATATGATATTATTAATACTTTAATGTGAAAATAAATAAATTAATAAATGAAGATATTAAAAGTATAAATAATTAAATGTATGTCTAAAATTTATTTTCAATTTGATATTTTTTAAATTTAAACATTCTTTAATTTAAACATTTTTAATTACAAAACTATTTAAAAAATAAATAACAACTATTTACAGTAAAATTATAGAAATTATTTATATTTAATTTGATATTAATAATAGTAATAATTTTATTATTTTTAATTATCAAAAAAAATTTAACAGTAATAAATGTGTTTTCACAAATAAATAAATAATAATAGAGATTAAAATTTAAAATGTCTCTATGTTATATTATTTTAATTACATATATACTTATAAATCTATACTTATATATATATATAAAGTGAATTTTTTTTATTGTCATTAATTTTTTACTTTAAACATATAAATTTTTAAATTACAATAGTTATTATATGAGTTTGATGGTTTTAAATTTAATTTAATTTGATTCAATAAATCTTTCTAATCTGTTTAATTTTTTATTTATTGAATTATTAAATAGATTAAATTCAACAATTTTTATTTTTTATTTATTTTCTTCAAAATTTTGAAAAAAAATCACGTAAAAATTTGATTGAGTTAAAAAATATATTAAATCAATTATTGTAATCGAAAAGAAAATTTCATAAAATAATTAAATAACAAAATAGTAATTAAGCCATGATTTAAAATTGATAGATTTATGAAAAGTACACAAGAATAGGGGAAATATCTATTACTTTTAAGCGCATTGCAAAAGGAGCAGATAAGAAAGAGAAAAAAGTGACAGTTTTTTTGCATGTCAATTAAGAGAGTATACTTGATTCATGTAAGTTATATTAGGTCAGGTCCACGAAATTGAAATTTTTTTTAAGAGAAAAGATCAAGTTAACACACTATAACGAAACTAGAAACAAAATAAACAATTAAACATATGTAATATTATATTTTTATTGATTTAAAATATGAGTATTAAGAAAAATTCTTAGAGATATAACTCAAACAATTATTAAATTTGAAAACATGAGAAAAGATGACAATACATGACTTTTTTACTTACTTGCTCACTTTCTATTATTTAACAATTTTGTTACCAAGTTACCAATATTATATTCAAGAGAAAACTTTTTTAAAATTTCAACTTCACTATTTTATTTCGGATGCTCTCATTCATTTACATATTTAAAGAATTTATCAAATATATTTAAATTATATCAGTTTTTGATAAGAATATGAAGTACATTTTATTTTAACTAAAATATTTTTTTAATGTATTATCAAAACAAGATTTCAAAATGAAACGGGAGATAAATTTCATGAAGACAATATGATAATTAACATAAAAAAATAGCTGGAAATTTTAGTTTTGATTTAATTATTGATGGACTCAATAATTTGAAAGAACAAAAAATAATTTATTAAATATGTATTTTTTATAGTTAAAATTATATTAAAATACATATTTGCTTTGTTTATATAGTGACAATGATAAAATACAAATAATAATCTCAATCAATGTAATTAAAAAACATTACTAATTGATGTTTTTAAATTGTTAAATGTTATTTAATAAAAAAATTTAAAGAATTTAAATTATTTTATCTAAATAAAACATTTAAAATTTAAAACAAATACAATTTGAATTTAACGTATTTTAATTTTCTAAAATTATAGAAATTCTTATTCAAACATTTTTAAAGTTTAGAAAGATAATTTCTGAACTGAACTTTTAAAAACAAATAACAAGTTTTATTAATTAAGTGGACATGTTTTGTTCCAATATTAAAAAAAATGGTTAAATATGTTTTTAGTCCCTAAACTATCAAACAAATTTGTTTTTAGTTTCCTTTTCAAATTAAGCTACATTTTGGTCTTTCTCCTTAAAAAAACCTTAATTTTTCGTCCTCCAAAATTAACGGTGTTAAAAATTAGCTGAGGTGGCTAAAGGTGATTGTCATGTCATTTTTTTTTATTCACACAGTCGGTCAATCTCCCTCCCTCTTTCTCGCTTTGCTGAGTCTTCTCCTTACTCGAAACAATTTGGCGTCGCAAGCCTTCAAGAGAGAAACCGACCACTCTCAGTGGCACCACGACGCCTTCCACGACGTTCGCGAAGATCACGAAGCGACAATTACGGTGACAGAAACAACGACACACCCAGCGATGGCGTTGCAAAACATATGGATTCGAGAATGGCACCTGCGAAAGTCACGCTAGATGTCACCCTTCAAGTGGGAGAAGTTTTCGCGAAGCTGGTGGATGTGGGAGAGCACGAAGGGGTTCTCCTGGCAGTCGAATTGGAGCAAGAGGTAGTAGGTGTGGTCGCACTGGGCTTGGGAAAGCGGCGACCCATCGGCGGGGAGGACAGAAAGGACGTAGCGGTGGTGTGAGTCTTCCACTACTGTCATCTCACGTTATTTCTCTGCTAAATATAAGAGTACAATGATTAATTACACATGATAAAACTAATTGAATTTTAAAACTATCTTATACATTTAAAAAAATCTTACATCTCCATTTCTTTTCTTTAACGAATTTTGAAATATGTTAAGAAAAAATTTCAACAGATTTCGAAATTCGTTGAAAGATTTTCTAAGCCTTCAACGAATTTCAAAATTCATTAGAGTTTTCGAAAAATTCTTCAATGGATTTCGAAATTTATTGAAAAAAATTTTCTTAACAGATTTTGATATTTTTTAAAATGATTTCAAAAAGATTTCGAAACCAATTTAAAAAATTTTCAAAAATTTGAAATTTGAAATCCGTTAAAGAATGGCATTTTTGAAATGTGGAGATATAGGAAAAAAAAAGGCGAAGAGGTAACCCTCTTTTTTTGTTTATCTTGGTTGCACTTTCATGTTATTGGGTTATTGTACAATAATCCAACCCAATCGAATGAAATCTCTCTGTCTATTCATGGCCCACATATTCAATCTTAATCATAATAAAGACTTACTTTATTAGTTACATTCTATAAAGTGAATTCCTGAATTATTTAATTGTGTAATTTAAAATATAAAGTGACGTTTTATTAAATTTAACTTATTTAAAACTTAGAATCAAAAAATTTCATAACCAAAATCTGTCAGTTAGCAAGTTAATTCACAAAAATTTTAATGTCATCTAATCCAATTATCGAGATCCAAATTGAATCAATTTTTCAAAAGAAAATTCTAACTAAAATCAATTAAAATATAAAAATCTATTTGAGACTCGTACGGAACGTCCGAAATTATTAAACCATTAAATAATTAGTGAAAAGTTGATCCAATTAATCTTTAAAATCTAATTTATTGAGAAATTAAGATAAAAAAAGTTCGTCAAATAGTAATATATTTAAAATTTAATTAATTGAGCATCTTGATTGATTAAGAATAATTAGTGGATTTCAAATTCATTTGTTTGTTTTAAAAGTATTGTTCATACAGTTGGTTTGATTACAAGAAAACAGCCAATTATTTTTCTATTTAAATTATTGTGGGAAAGATATTTATTTGAATAATGATTGATTATTAGGTATTATACTTAATTATTTGATGAGTGAATTACCTCTCTTTTAGAACCATGCAGTCTTAATTATAATTTATATAATAATAATAATAATAACAATAATAGTAGTAGTTTCTATTAACCTATATTCAGATACAGAAACATGTTAATAGATTATAAATTCAAATTATCAATTAGGTTTCTTAAATATGTCAAACCTAATTCCTGGGAAGAACACATCGAATTTTAGGATAACCTATTAGAATTATTCAAAACTAAAAAATAATAAAATGAACCTCGTACCTCTTATCCTCACACATATATCATATCATTCTTGAAGAGAAATTAGACAAAAATGAAGATTAAATTCAACAAAAATGGGTAAAATAAAAATTGAACTTCAATACTTAGAAGGAATTGAACCATAATTTCTCTCGTTATTCTTTTCAAACTCATGAAATTAACCATATATCTTTTCAAAGTAAATGAAGAAAATTAAATTTCCAACCTTTTCCATTTTTTTTTTCTAACTTCATCGCCAAATCAACCTTATATCTTCACTTGATAACATTGATGATTATGATTAAAACTTCAGGATTAATCAGGAAGTTTTCAATATCAATGATTTGACAGGAAAACTTATTCTTTAGCTTCCATTATATACTTCCAAATGCAAATTCACCGTCCTCAGATTAAACCTGTTTGTTTTCACAACAAACGCGGCCACAACCATAGATCCTATGCTACGAAAATTGTTCAAGTGGGGTGAAATTGTTCAGCATCTCCAATCACACAACCTCAGCAAAGTACAACACGGTGAAGCCTATTTTCTACTAAATCGCAAGTGAGCATGGAAGCCTTATATTTTCGTGGTCTTGAACTGTAAACAGTGGGAAGTGGCACTGTTTTGTTTCTATCTGTCATGCCACGCCACTTTGCTTGCATGTACCTTAGTTTTCTCCAAGGTCCTAAGTGCATTTTCTTTTCCTTCATGCATTTTTTTGCAGCTGAGCACATAATATTAATTATGACTTGTAACCTCTCCGCTTTTCCCACAAATACCTCAGGTAACCTGTTCATTAATTTGTTGTATTCTTCACTAGCACGTGCCATCTCAAATTCTGCTCGAAAATTCAATTCAATTACCACTTTTACTTCTCTTTTAGTGTTTGAGTTATCCTTTACTTCCAGATAAGTATGCTCCCCTGAAAAGATTATCAATAATATTAAAAACCAACTTGATTACTTTTAAGTTCAGTTAATATGTAATACAAACTTATGGCTGCCCTTCAGACCTGTCCCACCTATCACCATGTTTCTACCTTTGTAATTTAAATAATACAAGTTACATTAGACATATGTAATGAACATATATGGTTGTCCTTAAGTCCTGCCCCACATATACGTCACACTAGAAATTACTCACAGGTTCACTTTCTCTGAAATGAAATTACTAAATTATTTATCAAGCAGGTTTTCATACATAGGGGCTGTAAAAAGGTTGAAATATTAATGATTCAATACATGTTCATGGAGTGATGTTTTTTTTGGTAAAATACAACTTGCTTTGATTTGGTTTTTTAAAAAATTTAAATCTCCTCCCTAATCTCTTTGGTTTGTTTCAGTAGTAAAAAATGAGGCCCACTTGAAAATTTTACACTTTCATAATTGATGATGCAGGTGTCAGTAAAAACATTTTCTAAAATTATTCATATGTAAGAACATAAAATATGCAGATTAGTTTAGCCACAGTTCTCAGAAATAAGTTTGTTTCAAACATTACAAATTATTTCTGGACACAACTCATATATTTCTAAAAGTATTATTTCTGAAAACAAATTCCATTTTTATAACCACATTTGCTTGGTTCATTAATTAACACTTGGCACCTTCTAAGAGAGCCTTTTTCAGTGTTAAAGACAAAAGTGGAGAAAAAGTTAAGAAGATAAGTGTATTTTAACCAAATATTTTTCATGATAGTATACCTGATATTTGGATTTCCGAGGAAGTTCTCCATTTAGATGTGCAAAGAGCAGAGTTGTAACCAAGGTTCAACAAACGATCACATATTTCCCTCCTCAAGCAATTCCTACAGCTCTTAACATTCACTTCTCTCCGGCAAAGGCACTGCATATCCCACATATTTAACTCTGTTAGAACTTCCTTCGTAGCTTGCCGAACTCTTGTCTCAATCGAGCTACTCCCGCATAAGGTTGCCTATAAAAATGGAAAAACAGAATGTCACAAACTTCAACTGCTTTACCTGTGTACCAGTCTTTTTCTTATACATATCATTTCAGAAAATCAGTATGCATATTTAAGAAAATTATATTTCTACTCAAACCAGTAGAATTAAGTTAGATCATTACGAAGGATAAAGTTTATTCTACTTCAACCAATTCAACATAAACTAATAAGAAAATTGCCTCTCCATTTATATATATATTCATACATATATACATACACACATACATATATACATACACACATACATATATATACATACATACATATATATATATATATATATATATATATATACATACATATATATATATATATATATATATATATACATACATATATATATATATATATATATATATATATACACACACACACACTATTTTGAGTGATACCAGCATACATCTATCACATTTTGAGTTTTTAAATTCATAAAACTGGACACAAACATGGGTGATCCAATATAATAATCGCTAAATGCTCTCATACTATTTTGGAATTGTTAGCTTGAATCTAGCAAACAAGGTACAGCATTAGTAAGTAAGATGAAAAATTTTCTTCACATATGCAAACTATTCTGACACAATCGGAATTCAGACTTCATAATTAATTTTGGTGGATCAAAATGGGAAAATAAAAGTAGAATCCATTGAGTAATTGGCGTTGTTGTGAATGAAATTATACCTGGAGAAGGAGGTATTGTTTTTCCCAGAAAGCTTTGTAATCGTTTTCCACAGAACAAAGTTTTTCATCGTCGTCACCAAGAAGTTTGCCGGAGTTGGTTGAATTTTCCGGCGGCTCCTGGAGATCCTCCCAAAAGCCAAAAACGGTGTCGGAAAAACTCACGAATACTTCATCAGAGTCCATGGCTGTGCACATTGCTCTCGCAGGGGCTTGTGTGTGAGCGAGAGGGAAACTGATACTTCAATTTATACAAAAGTAACCAAAGAGGCACGTCCCATGGGGACCCACCATTCGCCATCATTGAGTTCTTCCTGAAAATTTCTCAGACTGTGTCTATGTATTGAATTACCATAAACCCTAAATAATCCCCTGAAACATTGTGAAATTGATTATAAAGTTTTATAAGTTAAATTACATTTATATTTATTTTATTTAATTATGTTACATTGAAAAGTTCAATTTGATTCCATATTTCTTAAAATTTTGAGTTGCTGCACAAGTATAATTATTAAGATAGAATAATTATAAAAAAAAATTTATAAGATTTTATGCTGCTCTTATTAATATTTATATTATATTCTAAATTATTATTATTTCATAATGTAGATATTTTAAAATTTAAATTAAGAATTATATTATAGTCTTAAATTAATCATTATATTATAGGCTTAAAAGTTCCCGTGTTATCTTTATTATAATTTGAAAATTACATCAAATAAATTTCATATACAGTTAAAATTTAAATTTTTTGTTATCCATTGTTTTGTTTTTTTTTTNTCATTTGCTTAAAGTAAATGAAGTGACTATCAAAATGCAATTATTTGAATGATTTGAAAGTTGAAAAATCATAAAAGATTTCATGATCAATTGTGATTTTTTATGCTATTTTTCAAATTGAAAAATTAGTGTTTATGGCTAGAAATATATAAGAAGCATATATTTTCTTAATTCTTTTGTATTGAAAATTTTCAAATATTCAAGGAAACTATGGTTGTATCATTTATGAAAATAATATAATAAATTATATTTATTATGAATTTGGTATAGTCTCTCGTACTTTTTATTTTTTATTTTATTTTAATAAATTTTCATATAATGATAAATAATTTGTAGACTTTGGAATATTAGTGAAGATATCAAAATTTATAATTATGTTTAACATAATTTTATTTAAAAAGTAAAAGTAATATTTTTCTTCAATAAACTTATTTATTTACTTATTTCAAATAAAATAAATGAAATTTATATTTTTATTATCTCTTATTCATTTAAAAAAAATAACTTTTCAGTGCTTTTGACTTGAAATTAAAAAAAAAAATAACGTACTTTTACATCTCTTAAATCCAAAAACACCTTCAATATCTAATCAAATGAAGCACAGTCAAAAGATTCCAATCATGTTAATAATGTTAATAACATTACCCATCTCTATTTTCCGGAATCTACAAGACACAAAATCCAGAAATTTGCACTGTGTTTGGTGAAAAGCAGTTGGGGATTTGGAGATAAGATTATGTTTATTTTATTACCAAAGAAAGATTAAAAGAACAGTTAAAGTGCAAAGTTGATTGAATAAAGCAGTACTTGTTCGGAAAAGTAAACCATTTATTCATAAGTTTCCTGTTAAGGAGACAAATACAAATTGCCAGGCTCCACCAACTTCACAAATTCTTCATTCTATTTCTGAACAAATCCAATAATATAAAGCTATGGATAAGAACAAAACACTACAATGTATTTGTGAAGCAATAAAAGCTACTTAAAGATGAAAAACTGATTTATAACTCAGTGTTATAAGTTATTAAGAATTCATTGGTGGAAGTCTCATATTTCACAATAATAAATCAAATGAACCATATATTAGAAAAAAATTATAAATTCATTTTTTTTATTTTAAATTGAAGATATTTTCTAAATTTTTTATACGAGTTAGAAATGATCATTAATATCAAGTATCCTTTATATATTTTTTTTAAAATATATTAATTGATATAAGAGCCTTATATCATGTAATTATAAATGGTGGATAAAATTATGTGTTAAAATAGTTAATAAATGTATAAACTAATACATTTGAGTTTTCTTTAAATACAATTTTACAAAATATTAAAAAGGTTTAATCATTTCAGACATTCTTATTTGTACATAATCGTCACTAGTACAGTTAAAGGAAATGACACCGGTTATTTTCGCTGATTGGCATCGGTTCCTGAACCGAGGCATATTCAGGCGAGGTAAAAAGTGGTAGACTTTATGCCTCGGTTTTGAAACGAGACAAAAAATGGTACGATTCGGCCTCGGTTATTAGAACTGAAATTGTTCCTCTCCCTCTACTACCTCGGTTGGAGGCTGAACCGAGGCAGTAGGGTCTTTTTTTTTCNATTATATTCTTTCAATGTATTTATTGTTTTTCAAGTAATAAAGAATATCAGTTACAAAAAAAATTATATATTTAGTTATTCTAATAAATTTTTAACTTAAAATAACAAATATCGCAACCTAAAATCTAACTATTAAATTCATAAATTGTTTATGTTGTGCAGTGTATCAATAATTTTACGATAAAATTACAATCAAATCAGAATGTATAAATTGTTATGTTCTTAAAGAGTGTAGAGATAGTTGTGTCTCAACTATCATTTATAAATTATTTTATTTAATAATATACAGTCAATTTAATAATTGGCATCTAAGTCTCATATTATTAATAAAGTAATTGTTGAAGCGGAAGCTCAATTGATAATATTACTATAAATTATAAAATATATTTACGACTACAACTAAGCAAGTTGAGGAGACAAATAATAATCATGTCACCAATTAATATAAAAATTAAAGAGAAACTATTCAAAAAGTATAATTTTTTTTAGTATTCAATAGACTAAAAAAATTTATTATGAATCAAGTAAAGATGTTCAAGTTTATAATGGATTTAAAACTTAAATAAGCCTGTTTTAATTATTCTTTATAATCTTTCATTAATATTATCTGATAATAGATTTCTTATGATAAATTATATGTTAGTGTCTTTTGGATCTCATGAAAGACAAGATGCAATTTTAAGACTTGATTTACTTGAATATTATTGCAATAATTCTCATTTTCATATAATTGTAAAGTGCAATATATAATAAAGATATAATAAAAAGAAACTCATTGAAAATTATAAGTAATTTAAAAATAGTGTTTTTAAAAAAACTTATTTAAAAACGATTAAAAAAATTCAAATTTTCATACAATATTTTTAAGAAGAAAAATCATTTTGCAAATTCTATGATGTGAAACATTCATCACCTGATTTACTAAAACATAATTGAAATAATCAAAACTAATTTATCCTTATAACATTGTTTCATCTTCTTTTTTATATGTTTTGTGTGTATAAATTTCAGTATTTTAACATACAAAAGTGCAAGTATTTGTCTATTGATGGATAAGGATGAAAATACAACTTGCTTAGTTATGAATACTAGTGAAAAAAAGGATTTCATGATGGACTATTATGATAGGTGAAATTCACCTATCATACTATATTGTATATTGACTAATGATAATTTTGTAATAAAAATAAAATATATTATGATGTATTTTAAGAAGCCTATTATAATAAGTTTAACCGTGACATTTTCGTAATATAAATTACATGTATTATGACAGGTAAAAAAAGTCACCTATTATAATAAGTTGGACACGATCGGTGACAAAATGAAAATTATGGTAAAAATATATTATTATAGATATTGAAACACCTATCATAATAGGTGCAAACCACCTTTTCTTTTCATTTCGAAACTTCATTCTCGTCCTCAAACATCTCTTTTCATTTTCGCGCACCCGTCTCATCTCCATCTCTCAGTTTTCACTTCTCATTCTCGAGACTTCTTCAACAAGAGCATACATCTTCATTCTCTCTGCTTCTCGCATTCATACATCACAGAACCACATCTTCGTTGTTGTCTTGCGAGTTTTATCTAACTCTAAACATTATTCTCAGCTAGGGTTTCATTTATGCAACATAAACCCTAATCCTAAAAGGAACTTGAAACAAATACAGTATACGAAATAGTATACTAAGAATTCTTACCATTATAATAATAATAGTAATAATAATAATAATAGTTAAAATAGAAAATTTAAAAGATTTATATTATCACCATCTTATAGTATTTTATATCTCCTAATTTAAACATATGACTTAAGAAATAAATATTATTTAAATCATGGTTAATTTGGATGATATTAAAGAGGTATATAATATTATTTTTTAAAATATTTTTTGGACATTAAGTAAGAGTGATTATATTGATATTTGGAATGATTGTTGGTATTGTAATATTTGTCCATTTAAATTGGCTAAAATTTCTTATTTTGATAAAATAAAGCTATATTCTCTTCTTAGGGTGACAATGCATGTTGTTCTGACCCGTTTAAATCCATCCCATAATTGGTCTATAAAATGTGACGCTTTGAAAATAAGGGTCAATAGTCTTATATACCCTACATAAGTCTTGGTAGGCAACTTTGTGGGTTGACTCCCTTTTTCTTATAATTTCTTGTGATAAAGCCTTTAAATTGGAAAACTTTAACAAGTTCATTAAGCAGAGACTTTGGGAGATGAATGCTAAATTAATAATTCAACATTTTCATCATATTTATATTCTTAATTTAATTTAATATGTATGATGAATTCTTGAGATTTTAGCATATTTAGTATACATAATAGTGGTTTTTTTTCCACTCATACAAGAATTTGGAATGTCTTATAGAAGTTTATAAGGAAAGTAACCAACATACACAGGTGCAATATTATTTTTTTATGCGTGTCGTTGGCTTGCTCGCCCTACCCCGTCCCAAGCCTGCATAGGTTGTGGGTTGGTGGACTTGAAATCTCATCATGTCCTGCGTTTTTTGTGTGGGCTTGTGTGTCGGCCTAGTGCGACCCGCCTTGCTTTATCATCCTTATCTATTGTTAGTTTGGTTTGTACAAGTACTCATTGAAACTTTCCTTCTTTTGTTACAAATGAATGTGAATTTTCTTTTTTAATAGTTGATGAGGAAGATAATGTACCTAATTGGATTCTAGATGATACTTGTATGTTTTCTCAAAAAGTTACAAATTAGTTTTGCTCTTCTGGTATGGAATGTATGGATTGAGGAAACTTGATTTGGTTAGATGAGGTGCC